GGACCCCGGTAATATTTTTTTCTGGATCCGCCACTTGGAATAACTCTAATACTTAACGCATTAAGTGCTTAATCTCTATCATCATCTTATACACATAGGTATTCTTCACAATACCATTAACATCTACACATACATGCGTAATTTACATTTATCGACTCATACATACTCTAATTATACGTTGTAACGCCAGCAAATTCGGGCTAGACAGTTAAGATATAGTAAGTAGTAATAGATCGCTCGAATCTGACTTTGTATGAAGAAGTTATGATTTGACAAAGTTTCGCGTTCAACCCTATACGGCTAAGTGCGTCATAAAATGTGAATTAGATATGGGTTGCTTATTAGCCTAAGTAATCTAAACAAAATTCGTAGTAATCGTAAAATCGAGAGCGTACATGTAAAGAACGTCCAAATCTGACTTCGTATGAGAAAATTATAATTTTTCGAAGTTTCGACGTAGCAGTGTGTGGCACAGAAATCGAACTCGAAATCGATTTATTGTTAGGAAAAATAATCTAAACAAGAGTCGAAAATCTTGTAAATACAATTCCATCGATATAAAGACAGTTGAGAACGGAGTTCGTATCAAAGAGTTATGATTTTTATATGAAGTTTTACAGTCTAAGCCTTATAAAAATATAACTTTAAAAATAAAGTGAGAATTTGTGACAACCCGGAAAATACGTGACCAACTGCCGTTAGGTCCTAACGTTGAAAAACAACATGTAATAGGACGACTATGTAACCATTCGACTTATATAAGTAAATATATTCAATTTACTAATTAACTACATCAACATTTAGGCTCAAAAATTTGTGCACGAAGGATCGTGTCACCTTGAGAGCACGTTTATATTTTTAGTGTACATGTAATACCGTGATTCCAAAAATATAAAACTTCGCAAAAATCAAACTTAGTGTGGATGAGATATGATTTTTATGGTAAATAAAAATCTACCGCACATAAAAGGTTACAACGTCAAAAACTACGAGGAAAATGGTCGACTTTTGGTAGAAGTCTCCAAAAGGACAAATGTACTTCTACTCAAAGTAAGAATTTTGAGACAAAGAAAGCCTAAATCGGAACCCACATGAGAGATTTATGATTTTTATAAAATCATAACGGTTATAAAATATAGGCTAAAAACAAAACTTGGAATTAGCCAAAACGACCAAAAGGAAAGTTGTAGTGTATGTCGAGACCTACATGGATATATAAGAGTCGTTGAAAACGAATCTCGTATGCGAGAATTATGAATTTTTGAAGATTGAGTTTCATGCTCGCGTGCATCCGCGCGTAGAGCGGCGTGCATTTCTGACACTCGATTCGTCAGGATACGGGATGGCATGGCACGAGGAGATGGTGACACATGGCAGCACCCTGTGGCTCACGTGCAATTGCACGTCGCACATTGCGCGGCGTGCACTCGTAATTTGGCTATAAATAGAAAGTTCCGACATTCAATTCTTCACACCCCAAAAATGCACCTCTCTCTCTCTCTCTCGCTCTTTCGATCTTCGTGCCAATGATTCTCGAGCGCCTCCCAAGTTCCGGACTTCTAAATTCTACCCTACATCAACAGTTTCACGCTTTAAGGGTGAGTTCACGGCCCCACTTTACTATTTCAATCCTTTTCGGGAAGGAGGGGGAATTCATGTTATAAACTATCGTTTTCATAAATATTGCTAACTCTATAACCGTAGTAATATGATTATGCTTAGAACATTAGGATGATATTATACCCGGTAGATACTTTGCCCAACTTTTAAGGATAATATTATGCCTAGCTGTTATGCTAACTCACACTGATAGAAAACATCATATCTAGTTGTTACGTTGGCCACTTTCCAGGAAACGCCATTTACCTAGTTACAACGATAGCCAACCTTTGGATAAGCTTAGTACTTAGTGGTTACTCTGCCCAAATACATGGCTACACAAAAAGCTTTAACTTAGTTATATATATGTATAAGATAATATATATATATATATATATATATATATATATATATATATATATATAATAAGTATCTCGTAGAAATACAACGAACAACAAACACGATCAACCAGGGGAGGCCCCCACAAACAAGTGTTAGATGAGACTGATTCATCACTTAGCTGAATAAACTTTAGCTGTAAAGCCCCAAACCTATAATCATTAAATCTTAAGTGAGCGGGAAAGATATGTATAGATCTATACGGAGTTGAAATCTCCACATGTGGTTGCTAGCTACAGCCTGACGGCAAGTCGAATCAGGCATAACTTTCTAAACACCGACGATGTCTGATGAAGCGTCGACATTCTGGGAAGATGACAACAATAGTCATAGCTCGATTATAGGAACTCATCGTAACATGTTAAACTAATCTATCTAAAAACTACTACTAGGAAATAAACCCAAGGAAGTAACGATAGAACACAACTCAAGAATACAAGTTTAGGGAAAACAACAATGCTGACATAAAAAAAACCTACAAAACCCTCTTAAAGTATGCAAAACCTGTGAACTCACCAACATTATGTTGACCTTTCAAACCCCATGTATTCTTAGGAGAATGAGTCCAGAAGGAGAAGGGAAAGATCTCGGCGATGCAACAAGAGGCATATGTGTTTTATTATTGTACTTTGTTTCCGTATCGTATCTGTACCTTGAACACCTGTGTAACCAAATTTACCTAATGAATAAAAAGTAATATTTGTGTATTGTTCAGCGTGACGTTGTATCTATGATCCAACATCCTAACGTCGCACAACCTGTCATTTCCGTCGTCGGCCAGGGGTGTGACAGAATTACCCGATGGAGTCTGAAGGAAAGTGGTAGTACTCGTCGATAGCTAGGCATGGATATAAATAACGTCGTCAACGAAGCTCATATGGGAAGATTGGATTTTTAGGAAATAATTAAAATCTGCTTTGCGCGCATAAAAGGTGCGGCGCGCCTAGATTCTAAAAGGGCGACACGGCCCACAGACAACTTGACATGTGTCACAAATTTGAAGGAATGATGTAGCAAAAAGGTGTGACGCGTCCCTTGTATAGGCGCGAGCGCGACACTCCCTGACCAATACCCTATATAATGAGCTCGAATTCAACTCATTTCCCTCACTCCCTTTCCACAACAATTCTATGGAAAATTTATATTCCTTAGATCCGACTTTCCCTAGATATTAGAAATGTTTAGCGGGGATCTAAGACGTCGAAGAATCTTGCCCGCACAATTTCCCGGTTTTTTGCTAAAATTTTTGTAGGTTAAGCTGAACTTACTATGCTTCAAGTGTAACTTATATTTATATTCATAGTCGTTATTATGTATCTATAAATAAGATTTATCGGTGATTCCAGTCATAATATTGATTGATCTACTTATAAGAATGATGTATACGCTATATTTATTGAGGTGTTTAAAGTTGGATTTCCAAACAGTATACTTTGTATACCAAACGGACCCTACCTCCGATATGATCTTTCCTGGTTGTTCTTTACTTGATAGATCTTGATGTAGACATTGGGATTAATGAGGAATCTAGACTTACTTTATTATAGTTGCAAGGAATATAAGACTATGACTTAGTGATATTCACATTTAGGTCTTTTTAAAGGAAAAGCTAAGGTGTTAGGCAAAGCAGTGCCCAAATTGCAAGTCGTCCACTTTTGACAGGTGAGTGCATAGTTACTTTCAACTTATACATATATACAAGTATTCTAAATGATTAAATGTTATGTGTGCTGTTTAGCTCTGTTTAAAATATATGTGTAACATGATATGGTTATTACTTGATTAAACCATATACTTATCATACTTAAAATGTTATTGGGGTATTGAAGGGTTGAGAGAAATAATATTGAGAGGTTATAACCATAGTACTATCGTACTGTTGTGCCCATTCATCTAGAGGAGTATAGATGACGACCACTGACTTTTCTAGAAATTCATGTGGAACACTGGTAGACTCATTACTTATAGGTGTTAATGAAATTTATGTTCATTTGTTGTAATTCATCCCCCACATGGTTGCCTCATTCGCACTTATTGTTAACAGAATCCCCAAAGCAGTATTGTCTACTCTATGTTTACAAATATCCTTTAGGATAGGTCCCTCGAGATCATCATTTTAGGATCAGGAAGTAAGAATAAGCGGAATGGGTAACCAATTTATTTGTTTACTGTGAAATATATAATTATAAGATTATAATATTGTGGGTTGAAAACCTTACGTGCTCACCAGGCTCCCAAGCTTGACCCACTCAGTTTCTTTGTATCACAGGTAGCAATACGAAGGTACAAGGATAGTGACATTTGAATCTGCCAAGATATTTAAGGAGTTTTAGGCCATTAAATAAAATTGATGAAAGACATGTAAAGACTAGTTTATGCTTATGTTTCTGTATCGGTTATGACATCCCAAGCTTTTAAATATTAATAAAAAACATTTCTTTGGAAATGCTTTTGATATTGATATCATTTCACATTAATAATGTTGTGGGAAAAATTCCGCACTAATAAAAGAAAAATTAGTTTTAAATAAGCATAAAGAAAAGTTTTTAAATGGCCGAAAAATTGGGGATGTCACATACGTACATGCTTAGATACATGATTTTAAACATATAATCTCATACGTACTCTAAATATACGTATATGCTTAGATACATGGTTTTTAGATGTATATTCATAATTTATCTCCATCTAACCATAAACATATATATTCAACAATTTGACAAGAAAGTCCTAAATTTTTTTTTTTTTACAGTAAAGTCTTAAATACGGGCAGTTTTTTACACGCTTACCCTATTTTATGGTAACTCATTTAATAGCCGGTAATCGAGCTGATGTGGCTACTAACGTTCACCTGGGGGTGAGTCAACACCACAACCTTATTAAATCAAGCAGGGTTTAATCGCGAAGTAGAAACCCATCTTTTTACTACGACGATTCTAGGGTTTTACAGTGAGTGAGATACGAGTTCGAACCTGATGGAAATATGAGTTGGAGCCTTGAAGATGGAAGGTGTGTTGGACTTTGACAACTTCGACGTGGAACTAGATGAAGGCCTTCTAAAGAAAAAGAGTAGCAGATGTACTGATGATTTCTTAACCTCACTGTGTCTTGAGGATGGAGATGAAGATTTCATAATCCCTGTATTCGAGAATGTTGAAGATAATACAACACCTGTGGAGGAAGAACCTTTGGATGACGAGCAGGTGGAGGATGAAGCTTTGGATGAAGGGGGAATTATAGTGAGGCTGAGTTTAAGTATAACACCCATGATCCAAACGTAAAATGGAATAGAATGAAACCTCAAGAGGGAGAAAGCTATGAATCTCCACATCAACTTAAACTTTGTTTAACAAATCATGCCATAGCTAAAGGGTATCAGATTAGGTTTAATAAATGTGATAGTGTTAGACTACATTGTGTGTGTGCTAGTGATCCTGAGAAGTTCATTTATCCTTATTATGTTAAAGCCTCTTGGATGATCACTAAAAAGTCAATCCAAATAAAGAAAATGTATCCACATCATACATGTGTCAAGAATTTTAACAATGGAAAACTTATGGGGCCAACATGATTAGCTAGGCAATTCCTAAAACAATTTATTAGGAAGCCTAATCTAAAAGCTAAGTAAATCCAAGCCATAGTTCAACACTGTGACATTCCTAAATTTACGGTCATTTTAAAATTTTATTTATGCTTATTTTAAAACAGAGTATTTCTTTTATTACGGAATTGGTCCCAAAAATATCCTTGGCATGGTATAATGTCAAATCAAGGTGTTTCAGAAGAAATGTTTTTCATTGATTTATAAAAGTTTGGGATGTCATAACTGATACAAAACATAAGCATAAACACACCTTTAATTTATACTAATGATGTACATCTTCTCTAATCTCTCAGTGTAATGTACCTTCACATCGATACCTATGATACAAATAAACTGAGTGGGTCAGGTTGGGAAACCTGGTGAGATACACAGGGTTTTCAGCCCACAATATTATAGTTAATTTTTTTATTCACACATTTTGTGTCAAACAATTAACTCGATTACCCATCCCTATTTTCTTATTTATTTTTCCTTAAGGAATTATCCTGAGGGTCATCACCTACATCGTGTTTACATATCATCACCTACATCGCATTTCCTTACATTTTTATTGCTAAGGACTTTTCCTAAGGATCATCTCCTACATCTCATAGACATTACTATTTTAGGGATTACTCCCCAATATGTGTCCAATAAGGGTTAGAGTATCATCGCAAGAATACGTAGTTACTACATCGCCTGAACTTGTAATTCATCACCTACATGTTATGAGCATGTCGATGTTTCCAAATGACTTGTTTGGATTAGTCAGTGGTCGCCATCTATCCTCTGGTAGAGGACTACATCATAACATCGTAAGTCAGGGTCAGGGCATCTCCTAGTAATCGCTTATTTATCATCACCTATTTATCATTGCCTATCTAACATTACCTATTTATCATCTCCTATCTACCATCCCCTATCACTACCCAATACATATTTGTATATGTATAATACTTATATGATTAAATCAATTTAAATGTCATATCATACTATTTTATCTAATGCATAACATTTTCGGCACAGATAATAAGCACACAAAGCAGATAATTGTCTAGATACTTCATATACATGTATAAGATGAAAGTAGCTATGCACTCACAAGTTAAAAGCAAATGGCTTGTGATTTTGGCAGCTTCTCCTTGATACTTCTCAAAGACCTAAACGTATAACACTAAGGTCCCGTTTGATAGTTTCTGTCTGGGAAAGTGTTGTCTGGTAAAGTGCTGTCTGGGAAAGTTTTCTGACTGTGAAAGAAACCATGATGTTTGATTGTACATCTGATTGACTGTACTGAATGATGAAAAATAATAATAATTCAATAAAAAATAATTTTAAAAAAAGTTATTTAAAAAAATTAATAATCCAATAAAGAAAGAAAGAGGCGGGGTGTGGTGTATAACTGTCTTTCCAGCCCATTCAGCCAGAAAGATATGATTTTGGGGCTTTCTGGGAAAGACATATCTTACCGGGAAAGACCCCTTCTTTTGTGCAAATCAAACAGTCTTTCCGGTCCATTCAGCCAGAAAGATCTGTTTGGACCTGGAAAGATGCGTATCAAACGGGGCCTAAGTCTTAGTCTAATCTCATAATCCAGACAACTATATTAATATTCTAGATTCCTCTATAATCCCGATATCTATATAAAGATCTATCAAGTAAGGATCAGCCATGCAGGACAGTTGGGAGACAATATCATTTTGGCATATAGATTTTTCCAAAATCCAACAACCAAGCCAACGTGACCATTCTAGACACCTCTCCTATAAGTAGATCAATCAGTATAATGACATGAAATTACTGAAAAATCATAATTATAGGTTCATGATAACGAATTATGACTATAGCTACAAGTTACACTTAAAAAAAATAGAGTGGAATGAAGAAGAATGTGGAGTTGAAGATGGACTGGAAATAGATGAAGCTGAAGATATTCAAGGGAATGAAGATGAAGGTGGAGTTGAAAGAGATGGGGATTAAAGATGGACATGGAGATGGAATGGAAGGAGATGGATCTGAAGATCTTCAAGGGAATGAAGAAGAAGGTGGAGTTGAAGGAGATGGAGTTGAAGATGGACATGGAGATGGACCGGAAGGAGGTGGAGCTGAAGATGTTCCAAGGAATGATCCAGTGGAACAAGGGAATTTTAGGCATAATGTGCAACAAAGGTGTCACAACCCCGAACCAGGACGGCGGAAACGTCCGGGGGCGGATGACGTCATTGTATAGTATCATAACAACTGGATATGAATGAAACACAACAACCAACATCATACATTAAAAGATATCAACATACATTGTTTACAGATTGTATATGTTCACAAATTTACACAAAAGTGACATAAAATATGATGCTCCAAAATGTAGCAAATATCCAAAATCCATAGCCCAAATACCTGCTCAATGAGTCCCTGAGAATACAAGTCGTTTTGAAAAGCGTCAACTAAAAATTTGGTGAGTTCATAAGAAAATTTGTATAAAAACTTTGTAACATCTTTGATTGTAATAATTTGTAAAACTCTAGAAAATCCGATATTTTCTGTGAAAAATGGTTTGTAAGTCTCGTTCCAAAACTGTGAATAATTGCATGCATGTCCTTTGTTTTCTTTTGCCTGTAAGTAAAAAGAGTGTGTGTTCCTAGAAAATCTCATATTTACTGTTTTATGAAAAAGTGTAGTCTTAAAACCCTAAGACTGGAGTGGTGATAGTAAAGTACAAAAATGAAGCATATTTTTATATTTTATAAAACCAGTGAAGTGTATAATTTCATAAATCCAAAATAACATTGTTAATCCCTATGTGAGTCGTTACAACCATGCTTAATATTACTGATATGCCTGTCATGACGTTAGGCGTTGGTTTCGGTAAGATATTTGTCACCATAGACTGGCCTAGTCTAGCTGTAGCGAACAGCTCAAGTGTGGGGGTGTCAACCTCGTATAGATGTATACACAATTACCTCACTCTCCCTCCAGGAGACTCTGGTTATAACTACAGGACTTACGGTGTATGCTAGGTAGGTACGGCGAAGGAAAGTCTCAAAAGTGACTTAACAGATTTACGCGAACTTTGACTCCCATTATTGAATAATGAACATAACGTTACTAGTGTAAATTCATGACTGCAGTTTTACGACACGTGTTTTTCTCTGTCGTAATAATTCTGTTTTGTATACCGTTTTAGTTAAATTATTTATAACACTTTTTATAAAAAATCGTTAATGGACTTGTCTACTTGTAATATATGTTGTGTAAATAGCATAATCCTCTAAGTTTTTCAAGCTATTAAAATAGTGACAGCATATTACGACTATTTTACTAGTAAAAATTATTTTTAGTAAAATAATCAAGTTTTGTAGTGTGTTTAACACACCAAAATTTAGTTTAGGAGTTTTATAACACAAAATATACTATTTTGGTGTGACTCTAGCATGTCACGATTTTTACAAAAATACATATAGAAATCTTGAAATTTATTATATTCCAATATTTGTGTAAGTATATGTGTTAAAATTTCATATGACCAAAAGTTAACTATTTTTGAGTGTAAACCCATATTTTCACCATTTTGAGTGGACAAACATATCCACAAAACTTTTATAGCACAAAATTGTTATTAACATGTACTTTATGATTTTTAACATATATTAAGAACCTTTTTAGTGGTGAACTTGTTTCATCTTCAACACATAACCATGATGCATGAAACTTTCTAAAGGATACTCTAGCCTCATGAGACTTGTAAATCTCGAGTTTATGGAGTGTTAGCATGAAGTATTCAACATTTCAAACACAAGTAGTTACATAAACACACAAGTGCATGCAAACATCCAAAGATTTAAACAAAACTTGACTTGTATTCCCCCCCCCCCCCCAAAAAAAAGGATGAAAAACACGAAAATAGTGGGGTATGAAGCTCACCTTGGTTGATTTTCGAGATGTAGAAGAAGAAGAAGAAGGAAATTTCGAGCCTAGCTTGTCTTGGAGAGGTCACTCGAAAATGGTGGTGTTCTAAGAGCTTAACACACACAAAAAGTGTGTAAACAAGGAGTTGTTGTCATAATATTGTTTATATTTACAAGAGTTACATGAAGGTCTTACCAAACTTATGATCCTTTGAAGAAGACTCCTTTGAAGATGGTACACACACACACACACCCACAAAATTTTGGAGGAAATAAGAGAAGTTTGAGATTTGAGAGAAGAGGTGTTCTTGATACTAAAGGAGGGAAGAACGAAATTGTGAAGTGTGAGAGGGGGGGGGTCGGTCGATCCTAGGAGATAGAGGGGAGGGGAGTTGACTTTTCCTAAAGCTTGATGGGATATATGCTTTGATGCATGGGGGTAATGGCTTTGTTACATGGTGAATAAGAAGGAGGTGGCAAGGTGTTTTCTCCCTTCTTCTTTTTTCAATACCCCAACCGAACCCAAAAGGGTTCTCGGCCCAAAGGGTGGCCCAAAAATAGTGGGCTTCGATTTTGGATTGGCCTAATAAAAAATTTCGGCCTAATAGGAGTTTTCGGTCCATTTAGGGTTTAAGAAAAAGGTTTTCGGCCCATTGAGGCCTAAAGGAAAGCTCTCGACCCAATAAGGCCTAAAGAAAAAGCTTTCGGCCCAATAAGGCCCAATGCAGGGTTTTTGGCCCAATGTAAAGCCCAATAGAAGTTTTCGGCCCAATAGGGCCCAATGAAGAAGTCT